GGGCTACAGTCCATGGGGTCTCAAGGAGTCAGATATGACCAAGCGGCCAACACTTCGCTTCTGTGCTGTCAGAATATGTTAGGAATAGGTGTGATATAGAAATTTCACCAGGATCTGTGGGGTTAGGGTTTTCATTTGAGGTTATGTCCCCTAAGTAACCAGCTGATCCTTATGTCTGCATAAGCAAAGGTCATCCTGTGTCACTTTCAGCCCTTGGAGTAACAGGATCTGAGTCCCCACTGCCTGTAGACTGAGCACAGACTGTGGGCTGCCCACAGACTGTGGGCTGCCTGCAGCCTGCTGCTATCCAAGCCTGGTGTCACTGCCCCCACCCCTTAGAGAAGGAGCCCAAACTCTGCACAGAGATGGGGGTCAGAAAGGAAAGGCTCAGCTGCAGGCCACCTGCAGAAAGTCTTCAGAAGCCCTCAGAGGTGTTTTCTTTCATCTGCCTCTTTTGAGAAAGAAAAAGCCTTTTTGAAAGTTGTTTTTATGAAACAATGTGAAAATTGGTAGAAATCTTCAAGTGTAAAGAAAGGGAAACCACGCGGTGTCTCCCAGCAGAGGGGACTGCTGCTGTGGTTTCTGTGGTCTGTATCACACCAGCGTTGGCCACACAGGAAGCTCCAGCTCACCCCCACGTGGACCGTCACCTGTGTCAGCCTGTTGATTGTTGGCCATCGATCTGCCCAGCTTGGGACAGAGAGGGCCAGAACTGGAGACAGGTGTGGGAGGCTCAGCTCACAGGCCAGGCTGCAGCCTTGCTCGGTCCTGGAGCAGGTGGACAGGCAGCTGCCAAGGTCTCAATGAGACTGGGCGCTGTCTTCTCCTGTCTCGGATCTTCTGAACCTGTGGTGGTTTCCAGCTTCTGTCGTTCAGGCAGCGCTGACCTGGCCGCCCCAGTCCCTGTTGTCTGGTGACTGGACTTGTGAACAGACTGAGGGGGAGCCCTGGGGGCTGGTCAGCCAGGAGGGGATGGGGAGGGTGGGCATCGGGACAAGGGACTGGGCTGGCACAGAAGAAAGACCCCACCCTCTGGTTCTGCGGCCAGGCTCCCCCCCGGGGCGGGGCAGGTTCTTGGGGCCCAGTGGAGGCTGGTTTCCTTTCATCCTGAGAAGCCTGTCGCCAGAACAGAGGGGAGGCTTCAGGGAGGGTCCTGGGAGAACGGTCTTAGGGTGGGAAAGGAGGACCCAGGCACATCACCCACTTTGGGGAAACCTTGTTCTGGGGCCAGAGGCCCTATCAGGACCCGGGGCTGTGGCCTACACACTGCCCCCCCCCCCCCCCCCCATCGCCCGCTGTCCTGCCCGACCTCCATCTCCTGGGCGGACCGGCCTGCCCTGCGGGTTGTTAGGGACACCTGCGCTGCCTCCCTGTGCTGGGGGTGTGGGGTGTGGAGACAGGAACTCTTCTGAAATTGGGTTCCTTAATGTCTGTTTACCAATACATTGTGTTCCTTCTGTTTGGTAAGTGTCAGGTCTAAATACCTGCTGTTTTTCCTCAGAGGTTGACAGATATATTCAGACGCTACGATACAGACCAGGACGGCTGGATCCAAGTGTCATATGAACAGTATCTGTCCATGGTCTTCAGCATCGTATGACCCTGCCTTTCTGCAAATACCAGCATTACTTATGGAAAAAAAAAGACTGAAAATGCCAAATCTTTTACCTTTAATGAAACAGACACCAATGCAGTTACATACTGTTCTTTCTTTAAATTTTGTATAACTACTATTTGGGGACCCAACTGTATATATGTGGATAAGCTGGTTAACGTTTCCCGCTTGTAACAATAGTTATATATTTCCATAGATATAGACATTTGATATGAGGCTGTTTAATTGTGCCATAAGGTAACATAATAATGTTTCAGGTATTCTGCTTGCAAAAAACTTACCATGTGCTTTTTTAGATAGCTCTAGTTCTAGAGTGGAAATACTTTATTAGCCAATAGGAACTTTAAATAATGTGGAACTTGCACAGAAGGCCACTCACGTGCCTTACTTTTTAAAGGGGGTTTACTGTATTCACTTGAATGTGCAGCGTAAGCAATAAAGCACACATATCCTTGTGCCCGTCTGTCTCAGCTGGACTCACCTGGAGCTCCGAGGGGTGCAGCAACCTGGGGTGTCCCCTGGCCCTGGTCATGGGAGTCCCAAGATTTGTCCATCCTCTGTGACAGGAGTTGGTTTACATTTGGTAAAACTTTGGAAATACAAATCCAAGTTTAATTTGGAAAGGAGTGGTCTTCCTTTCACTTACTAATGGTGTACCTCTGCCCTCTGATGGACTTGGTCAGAGTTTTTCACACGTGAATGTGGAGCAGGGGTGCAGCCGGCTCCGCCCCATGTGCTCACTGTCCGGCCGGCCCCGGGTCCCTGCATCCGCCCCCGCAGATTCGCTTCAGGCTCCTGTGCCCCCGCCCTTTAAAGGTGCCTCCCTAAACCAGGATTTGGGCCTGGGGCTGTGAGATTTGGGGTGGGCTTCTGGGTGGGTGTCAGTGACCCATAAATGGATCTGGGGCATCAGAAACGGGGGGTCCATTTTGGGGGACCTGTGCTGGTGGCAGATAGGCGCCTGGGGAGCTGTGAGTTTTATCTGCAGTGTCTGATTACGAGGAACATCACTGAGCACAGTACCTGGGGCTGAGATAAAGAATCTGTGGGGCTCCAACTGGCCTTGTGAGCTCATGGTCGAAGGTCCAAGGGGTTCTCTGAGGATTCCACGCCTTTACCCTTCATGGATCTCTACACTTCGAAACACTTCTGAGGACACCAGCCAACATTCACAAGTTGTACTCCAGAGGTCGGTTCCCAAATTCCTGACTCTTGAGGCCCAGGACATCTGGGTGTGCAGCTTGACTCATCTTGTACCTGGTACCCACTGCCTCAGCCAAAACTGCCCCCAGTCTACCCACTGCCTCAGCCAAAACTGCCCCCAGTCTATCTCCCTGTCTCCCACTGGATGGAGGTGTAGACAATGTGACCCACTTCCCCTCTGGAGGTTCCCCAGTAGCAGAGGTGTCGACAGTGGACCCACTTCCCCTAGAGGTTCCCCAGTAGACAGAAGTGTAGACAGTGGGTCCCTCCTCCCCTGGAGGTTCCCCAATAGACAGGTGTAGACAGTGGGTCCCTTCTCCCCTGGAGGTTCCCCAGTAGATGGAGGTGTAGGCAGTGGGCCCACTTCCCCTGGAGGTTCCCCAGTGGACGGAGGTGTAGGCAGTGGGCCCACTTCCCCTGGAGGTTCCCCAGTGGACGGAGGTGCAGGCAGTGGGCCCACTTCCCCTGGCGGTTCCCCAGTAGACGGAAGTGTAGGCAGTGGGCCCACTTCCCCGGAGGTTCCCCAGTAGACGGAGGTGCAGGCAGTGGGCCCACTTCCCCTGGAGGTTCCCCAGTAGACGGAGGTGTAGACAGTGGGTCCCTCCTCCCCTGGAGGTTCCCCAGTAGACGGAGGTGTAGACAGTGGGCCCACTTCCCCTGGAGGTTCCCAGTAGATGGAGGTGTAGATAGTGGGGCCCACTTCCCCTGGATTCCACAGTAGATGGAGGTGTAGACACCGGCCCACTTACCCTGGAAGTTCCCAGTAGACGGAGGTGTAGACAGTGGGTCCCTCCTCCCCTGGAGGTTCCCCAGTAAACAGAGGTGTAGACAGTGGGCCTATTTCCCCTGGAGGTTCACCAGTAGATGGAGGTGTAGACAGTGAAGCCCACTTCCCCTGGAGGTTCCCCAGTAGATGCAGGTGTAGACAGTGGGCCCACTTCCCCTGGTGGTTCCCCAGGTGTGGATAATTGGTCCCCAGGGGGTGGAAGTGTGGACAGCATGGTCCCTCTCCCCTGGGAGGTGCCATGCTTGTTTGTCCCATGAGCTCTGGCCTGCACAGATCGCAAGCTTAGAGGGAGGGCAGGCATCCGGCATTTGCACTTTGGGCCCCTGTGATGTGAGCCCCTCACCGTTCTCTGTCCTCCCCACCCCCCCCCAGACCCCACCCCTGCAGTACCTTAGGCCCTGGATTCCCCCTGGACCCCAGGATCCGGGATCGCTGAAGCTGGTTGGGGTGACAGCAATTCCCAGCTTCACTAAGGAACCTGCCCAGTGCATGGTCTGCCTTCAATTTCTGGAGATCCCTGGGGCCTGTGCCCAGACAGAGCAGACATGGAGTTGCCTGCTCTCAGTGTGGGCCGGCCGCAGTCAGGGACCTGTGCACATGTGATTGGGGACGTCCCCTGATTCAGGGAAGTGAGGGAGAGGGAAGTTGCAGAATTGCAAAGAGGTCTGATGTGATACAGATGTGCTCAGGTGGCACAGTACACAGAGTTGGTGCAGGTACACAAGCCAGCGGTAGACACACAGGTGTGTGGTAGGGGTACTCACAGGCAGTTCAGTCACACAGTGGGTGGTCTGGTATATACTCTGCACAGACCCTCAGTGGACTCTCCGCGGGAGAGGCAGGTGAGTTAAGGGCTGGGGGGTCCCCAAGCCCCGCCCAGGCCGCCCAGGCAGGTGCGCAGGAAGATGGGGACCCCCTTCCCTCCAGGGCCACACCTGACTGGTCTCAGCACCGGTCGGCCACACGGGGGCGGTGCTGTGCCGCCTGATCCTGGGTCTCACCCAGACCCGAGCTCTGACTGCAGGGGTGGAATTTCTAGGAGCAACAGAGAAACCCGAGGGATCGGGGCACAGGTCATGAGGGTGGAAACAGCTCTGGGGCTTTTTCTTCGTCAGGATGCTCCACGCTCAGGCCGGCCCAGGGCCCCTGAGAGTCGGTTCGGGGATGGGGCAAAGGAAGGGCTGCCGGGAAGCCGGCCCAGGCTCGGGGGGGGGGGGGGGGGGGGCGGGGAGGAGGGGCTGGGGGTGGGGCTCCGGACTGGGCCGTGCAGGGGGCCAGGCCATCTGCTGCCTCGTGCCTGGTCACTGGGCCCCGCCCATGGCTGCCTTCTCTCGCGCTCCTTCCCCACGGGTGTCATGAGCTGATGACCCAGCTCCGTGTCTGACTCCCAGGAACATGACGGATGTGCCCGAGATGCCGCCGTTCTCACCTAGCTTCCAAGCCCAGTTCTCCACGAAGAAGGTGGTCGTCCGGCCACCACCCTGGTCACCGCCCGTCACCACAGCCAGCTGGGGGAGTCACCTGCGCAGTCCAGGTGAGCCTGGTCAAAGGGGGAGCAGGCAGGGGCCCAAGGTGGGGGGTCGGGGGCTGCAGGCGGAGCTGATGTGAGGAGCAGTGTGCGGTGTGGCCGCATCACTGCGTCTCCCTTTAAGGGCAATTGTGAGGGTGACTGTGAGCGTGAAAGTGTGCCAGGGCGCACGTGAGGATTTCATCAGTGTCCAGGCTGGAGGCTCCAGGAAGCCAGCCTGTGTGAGTCTGAATGTACCTCTTGGGAAAATGGGTAAAGGCAGAGATTCTCACCTGTTGTGTGATGGTTAAAATATACTTAACGGAAAGTTTACCATTTTAACCAGTTTTAAGTGCGCAGCTCACCGGTATGAAGTGCACGAAGTGTTGTGCAGTCACACTACCCTCCATGTGACTCTCCGTCCCGTGAATCCGGGGCACTGTCCCCATGAACACCAACTCCCCGCCCCCGCCCACCACCACCTGTCCCAGGAGCCCGAATCCTCTGGGCCCCGGTGTGAGCAAGTCCTGCAGGGTCTGTCCTCCTGGGACTCCTGCACGTCCCTGAGCACCAGGTCCTCAAAGCTCACCCGTGCTGGAGCCTGTCTTAGAATCTCCTTCCTTTTTAAGGCTGAATAATCGCCTGTTGTATGAATGGACCACCTTGCAATCATCCCTCATCTGCTGATGGACACTTGAGTTGCTTCCAGCTCTTGGCTGTCGTGAACATGCTGCTGTGAACCCGGGTGGACAGGTTCCTCCTCAAGACTGTGCTTTCAGTTCTTTCGGTTCTATCCCCAGAGGTGGTCAATTATATGGTAGATCTATGTTTAATTTTTTGAGGGACTTCCATCCTGTTTTCCACTTGACTGAACCATTTTACATTCCCACCCACAGTGGCCAAGAGCTCCACTTTCTCCATGTCTTGCAACATTTATGTTTTGCCAACTTTTATGTTTTGACTGGTTTTTGGTTGTTAGTTCTATAAGGTCTTGTATGTAGGTCTTCATAGAACTGTTCAATTTCAGCTTCTTTGGCATTAGTGGTTGGGGCATCTACTTCGATTACTGTGATGTCATTCATAAAGGAAATCAACCCTGAATATTCATTGGAAGGACTGATGCTGAAGCTCCAATACTTTGGCCACCTGACGCAAAGAGCCAACTCATTGGGAAAGGCCCTGATGCTGGGAAAGATTGAAGGCAGAAGAAGAAGGGGGTGACAGAGGATGAGATGATTGGATGGCATCACTGACTTGATGAACATGAGTTTAAGCAAACTTCAGGAGATAATGAAGGACAGGGAAGCTTGGTGTGCTGCAGTTCATGGGGTCACAAAGAGTTTGACACGACTAAGCATTTTCTTCAAAGATGGAGGAGCTCTATACAGTCAGTAAAAACAAGACTGAGCTGACTGTGGCTCAGCTCATGAACTCCTTATTGCCAAATTCAGACTTAAATTGAAGAAAGTAGGGAAAACCACTAGACCATTCAGGTATGACCTAAATCAAATCCCTTATGACTATACATTGGAAGTGACAAATAGATTCAAGGGATTAGACCTGATAGACAGAGTGTCTGAAGAACTATGGACAGAGGTTTGTGACATTGTATAGAAGGCAGTGATCAAGACCATCCCCAAGAAAAAGAAACACAAAAAAGCAAAATGGCCATCTGAGGAGGCCTTACAAACAGCTTTGAAAAGAAGAGAAGCTAAAGGCAAAGGAGAAAAGGAAAGATATACCTATTTGAATGCTACGTTCCAAAGAATAGCAAGGAGAGATAAGAAAGCCTTCCTTAGTGATCAATGCAAAGAAATAGAGGAAAACAATAGAATGGGGAAGACTAAAAATCTCTTCAAGGAAATTAGAGACACCAAGGGAAATTTTCATGCAAAGATGGGCACAATAAAGGACAGAAATTCTATGGACTTAACAGAAGCAGAAGATACTAAGAAGAGGTGGCAAGAATACACAGAAGAACTGTACAAAAAAGATCTTCACCACCCAGATAATCATGATGGTGTGATCACTTACCCAGAGCCAGACATCCTGGAATGTGAAGTCAAGTGGGCCTTAGGAAGCATCACTATGAACAAAGCTAGTGGAGGTGATGGAATTCCAGTTGAGCTATTTCAGATCCTAATAGATGATGCTGTGAAAGTGCTGCACTCAATATGCCAGCAAATTTGGAAAACTCAGCAGTGGCCACAGGACTGGAAAAGGTCAGTTTTCATTCTAATCCCAAAGAAAGGCAATGCCAAAGAATACTCAAACTACCACACAATTGCACTCATCTCACACGCTAGTAAAGCAATGCTCAAACTTCTCCAAGCCAGGCTTCAACAGTACATGAACCGTGAACTTCCAGATGTTCAAGCTGGGTTTAGAAAAGTCAGAGGAACCAGAGATCAAATTGCCCACATCCATTGGATCATCAAAAAAGCAAGAGAGTTCCAGAAAAACATCTACTTCTGCTTTATTGACTATGCCAAAACCTTTGACTGTGTGGATTACAACAAACTGAAAAATTTTTCAAGAGCTGGGAATACTAGACCACCTCACCTGCCTCCTGAGAAACCTGTATGCAAGTCAAGAAGCAATAGTTAGAACTGGACATGGAACAACCGACTGATTCCAAATAGGGTAAGTAGTATGTCAAGGCTGTATATTGTCACCCTGCTTATTCAACTTACATGCAGAGTACATCATGGGAAATGACAGGCTGGATGAAGCACAAGCTGGAATCAAGATTGCTGGGAGAAATATCAATAACCTCAGATATGCAGATGACATCACCCTTATGGCAGAAAGCTAAGAGGAACTGAAAAGCCTCTTGATGAAAGTGAAAGAGGAGAGTGAAAAAGTTGGCTTAAAATTCAACATTCAGAAAACAAAGATCATGGCATCTGGTCCCATCACCTCATTGGAAATAGGTGGGAAAACAGTGGAAACAGTGGCAGATTTTATTGTTTGGGCTCCAAAATCACTGCAGATGGTGACTGCAGCCATGAAATTAAAAGACACTTGGTCCTTGGAATAAAAGCTATGACCAACCTAGACAGCATATTAAAAAGCAGAGACATTACTTTGCCAACAAATGTCTGTCTAGTCAAGGCTATGGTTTTTCCAGTGGTCATGTATGGATGTGAGAGTTGGACTGTGAAGAAAGCTGAGCACCAAAGAATTGATGCTTTTGAACTGTGGTGTTGGAGAAGACTCTTGAGAGTCCCTTGTACTGTAAGGAGATCCAACCAGTCCATCCTAAAGGAGATCAACCCTGAATGTTCATTGGAAGGACTGATGCTACAGCTGATACTCCAATCCCTTGGCCACCTGGTGCGGAGAACTGACTCATTTGAAAAGACCCTGATGCTGGAAAAGATTGAAGGCAGCAGAAGAAGGGGACGACAGAGGATGAGATGGTTGATGGCATCACCGACTCAATGGACATGAGATTGAGTAAACTCTAGGAGTTGGTGATGGACAGGGAAGCCTGGTGGCTGCAGTCCATGGGGTCGCAAAGAGAGGGCCTGACTGAGCAACTGAACTGAACTGAACTGAACTATAGCAACTAAAGAGTGTTTTGACAGTAGCCATCCTAATAAGTGTGAGATAGTATCTTATTTATGGTTTTTATTTGCATTTCCCTAATGATCTGTGAAAAAGCCAACTCAAAACTCAATATTAAAAAAAGTAAGATCATGGCATCTGGTCCCATCACTTCATGACAAATAGAAGGGGAAAATGTGGGAGCAATGATCAGATTTCTTCTTCGTGGCTCTAAAATCACTGTGGATGGTGACTGCAGCCATGAAATTAGAAGACACTTGCTTCTTGGCAGGAAAGTTGTGACAAACCTAGACAGTGTATTAAAAAGCAAAGACATCACCCTTGTCAAGCATCTCTGACCATAGTGTGAGGGTTTATTTCTGGGCTGTCTGTTTCATTGGTCTATACTTACCTGTTTTACAGATGAGAAAGGCAAGGCTCAGAGAGGACCCATAATTTGGCCGAGGTCATGTGGTCAGTGGTGCTCAGGCTGGGGTTTGGCGGAAGGATGCCCTGGCCCTCATCTGTTCATGCAGAGGTGGGTGCACAGGGTGACCATAGGACCCAGCCACTCTTCCCACCAGGTCCCCCTCCAGGCCAGCTGTGCTGGGCCCTCACCTGGTTCATATAGGTTCAGACTAGCTTCCAGTAATGAGGTCTCATTGAAATTGTCTTCAAACAATGCACAGAAACACAGAGGTAAATGTCTGCCCCAAGAACCCAGGAAGGGCAAATTCCAGGGAAAAGCTGACAGTCTCCTGAGAGCCTGGGGAGGCTCAGGAGGGCAGGGGCAGGGGAAGGGGGGCACTGAAGTTTCCCTGAACAGGGAGCCCCTCCACCCTTGAGCAGGACCCACCCCCTGAGATGTGCCCATAGGTATGCACAGCCCGACAGGCCCAGCGCTCTGCCCACCTCGAGCCGTGCCTCCCTCAGTGAGAAGCGCGGGACGGTTCACTCGGCATCTGTGAGAAGGCAGAGCAAGGACCTGAGGAAACAACTCAGAACTCCTGCCGTCCAAGGTCTCAGAGACGACCGAAGACATCGCATCCATCAGAAAAGAACCACTTCTATTCAAAGAAATGATACAGAATGGAAGTAGAACATCTGGAAGGGGAAAAGCTAGAGAAAAGAGCAAACTGTGGGGAATAGAAATTCAGAACAGAAAAGGGCCTTTCCAGAGCTAAGGTGCATTCTGGAGGACTGCAGGGGAGCAGGGGCGCAGACAGGAGCAGGGAACTCTGAGGGAGCCGCCCTCAGCCCAACAGGACAGTTTCTGAGAAGGTCTCCCACATTCCTCGAACTGGGAAGCTCCTGCAGGATGCTCCACAGCCTAGATGGAGAAGGGGCTGGGTCCCCGGTGGACAGAGCCCCAAGGGGGGGCCCGGAGGGACAGAGGCGGGGGCTGAGGCGGCCTGACTCATGGGCTGCGGAAGACTAGCTTCTCGGACACCAAAGGATGTGGGGGACAAGGCAGGTTCAAAGAAAACCAAGTGAGTCATTGTTCATGGGGACCGGGTTGTGCAAGAAAGGAAGTAGCTGTAGTGAGCTGCCCGTCCTTCCCTCCTCCCCGGCCCTGGCCCTCCCCCTTCGCTCTTCCCTCTCCCCTCCCCCCCTTCTCTCCTCCCCACTCCCCTTCCCTCCCCCCACCCTCCCCCTCGCCTACCCCCTCCCTCCCCCCTCCGCCTTCCCTCCTCCCCCTCCCCCTTCCCTCTCACTCCCCTTCCCCCGCCCTTCTGCCCCCACAGTGGCTGCTCCTGGGCTGTGAGGCTGTAGCAGGTTAGGGTTAGGGATGAAGTTAACAGATGAAAGTTCCTGCTGCCTGCCCCCCCAACAAAAAACCCAAACGTGGGGAGTGAGGGAGGTAGGGGTGGCCTCTGCCTGAAGCTGAAAGAAATGCCGGACAGCATTCCACTCAGAAGGAACAGTGCCTGCGAAGCCCCTGGAGCAAGAGGAGGGGAGGACAGAGCCTGAGGGGCTTGGCTGCACCCTGTTCACAAGCAGGGCTCCTGGGGATCCTGACCCCCACCAGGCTGGAGGGCACAGTCCCTCTTCCGCTCTGTGCCCTGCGGCGGGAAGCCCTGCCTGGCTGCGCAGCGGACCCGGGGACGCACTCAGGGAGGCACACTCAGGGATGACCCTCAGGCGGGAGGCGGGGGGCACTGAGGCACTCCAGGTCCCCCCTCGCGCGGGGACAGAGAAAGCGCCGCCCTGAATGAGGGCTGCTTGGGCAGCGTGCTGTCCCCCGGGCCCGTGTGGCCTGGCTCCTGGCTGGGCACCTGCAGAGTGACCGCATACCCCTGTCTGACCCTGAGGAGGCCTTGGCTGTCTGGGGGCAGGGTGAGGGGTTGGAGCAGGCCAGTGAACCCTGGGGGAGGGCAGGCGGGCACAGCAGGGATGGCAGTCAGGCTCGCGTAGCCGTCACGTCACCCGCCTCCCAGGATGGCAAGGCTGGGGCGCGGATGCGGACACCCCATGAGCAGCGAAGGCACTGGGGATGGTCTCTTTTCCAAGCCTCTTCCCTGCCAGGTGGTGGCTGCCCTCTCACCCTAGGAGGATAAATGATCCAGGCAAGAGGAATTTGTCCCCGGCTGGTTGGACCTTCGTTGCCAGGGTGAGGAGGGCGGGGAGAGGGGGCAGACTCAGCAACCTGGAGCCTATTTACAGTTGGGGTTCCCAAGTGCAGAGGGACGGCAGGTTCTGAAAAGAACCCCATCCGAGTCGCAGCCCCAGAGGGAAACAGTGTGGGGGGGCAGTGGGCAAGGTGGTCACGATGCTCAGTCGCTCAGTCTCATCTGACTCTCTGTGACCCCACGGACTGCAGCCCGCCAGGCTCCTCTGTCCATGGGATTCTCCAGGCGAGAATACTGGAGTGGGTTACCATTTCCTTCTCCACAGACTGGTCATGATGGTGAATAAAACAGAGCACCCACAAACAGTCATGTGTCGCACTATCTGTGTGGACTGTGTCCCGTCGACCTCCTGAGAACACTGCCGGGGAGGCCCAGTGTCACCTTCGTCCTGGTGGGAATGGCACCCAGGGACTCTCACAAAGGGGGTCACCCTGAGTCCCTGGGACTTCAGAGGGGGCACCGCCCTAGGAGGGGGTGCCCTGTTTGTGTCCAGTCCCAGTGACGGCCTCCAGGTCTGCAGAGGCTGCGGGCTCTGGGGCAGGCGCAGCCTACGGGCTGAAGGCGGGGTGGCTGGAGGCGGGGCATGGACACTGGCTTCTGCACTCGGCGCCGGGCGGCCCCGGGAAGAGGCAGCAAGAAGCACTGAGGCGTCTCACTCAGGCAGGCTCCCCAAGGGGCTGGTGGGTGGGTAGGAATGATGCCCGGGCAGCAGGCTCGAAGGGGACACAGGGGGTGCAGGGCTCTGTCTACAAAGCTCTGCATCCTCCAGGCACCCACCCAGGGGTCTCCACCCTCTGTCCTGCTCTGAGGGCCCCCTACAGGCCTGGCCTTCACCAAGGGGACCCCATTACCCCTGCCATCCAAGGTGTATCCTCCCAACGTCTTACACATGCTTACTCTTTCTTTTTAACAAAAAGGAAAAACAATGAAAGTAGTTCAAAAGTACTCCGTGCTTCTGCAAAATAATCAGAAATTGTAGAACTTTTAACAAGGAAAAAGAAATGTAAGTTCACCTGTAACCTGAGTTATGCACCCAGATTTTTTCTGTGCATAATGCACTTTACAAAAATCAGATCAAGATACAGCAGCTGATTTTAACTACTTAAAAAATACAGCCACATAGCTGCATGTTGCTCAATGTCAAAAGGTAATATACAATAAGAATAATAAAAGCTGACACTTTGAGTCCCTGTTCTACATTGGGGACTCTGCTTTTCCTCAGGTAGAAGTGAATAGACCTGGTGAGTTTGCCTATTTGACACTGGAGCAAAAAAAAAATCTGTGTGATTTCAGGCAAGAATAAGCCCTGTGAAAGGTAGAGGAGATAGACAGCAGGGTTTGATCTGGGATGGATATTCTCTCTGAGGACAGAGGATCAGAGTGCCAGCCCTGCCAGTATCTGCAGAAGAGATTTCCTGGAGTAGGAGCAAGTGCCAAGGCCCTGAGGCCTGTGGTCTGTGAGGTCAGGATGGGCCTGGGGCTCTGGGTAGGGGTGGGATCAGGGCTGGCTGTGGGGGGTGGGGGTTACTGGGGCTTGCATGAAGACAGTGTGAGGTTCCCTGGAGACCCGGGAGGGTCTGGATTGCCCCGGCAACACAAGGAGGCCCCTGGGCCGAGGTCTCCTGAGACCCTTCAGACTTTGTGGAGAGCCTAGGGTGTGAGGTAAGGTTCATGGGTGTCTGGGAGGCTCTGGGCCAGATATGCAGCTCCAACCCAGTGAGGGAAAGTGGACCTTCCAAAGTCTGGACATGTCTACCAAGATGGAGGGAGGGTGGGAGGGTCCGGTTGCAAGAGAGGGAAGGAGCAGCAGGAAAGATGGGAAGAGTCGGCTGGAGGCCTTAGCTCCTGTGAACTAGAAAAGTCCGGATCAAGACTTCCTCCTGGAAGGTGAAAGGTTAAAAGTACTATATTAATATTTTAAACTGTAAGACCCTTTGGTTTTAGCAATAACTCCACCGAAGCAGGTAGAGCAGGACATGCTACGCTCACGTTACACATACTGATCCAGATGCCGGGACCCAGCGGCTAGGGGAGTTCGCACCCTGCACCTCCGCACTGCGGTTAGGTGCGCACCGGTCTCAGCTGGCGGGCGGAAGGGAGCCGCGACTGGAGGCGAGGAATAGAGAGTCCGGGGCTCCCCGCGGGGAGCATGCGGGCCTCGAGGGGCACAGAGCAGCCTGGAGGCGACAGAGCGTTGAGGATTCCACGAGGACGCGAGAGACGCAGGGCACGAGCCCACCGTGGCTCACTCGGACCCGGGGACCACGGGGAGAGAGGGGCGCAGGGCAGGACCTCACCGGGGTGCACAGATTCGGAGGACCGCGGAGACAGGGGCGCAATGCAGGACCTCACCGGGCGGGGATGCAGGAGCCGACCCGGGGACCAGGACCGCGAGGGGTGCACGCGCGCGCCCCCTGCCGCCGCCGGGTCTCGGTCGTCTCGGGGCGGGGCGGCTCGCGTGCCGGGGTGGAGCTGTCCTTTCGCGGCCGCAGCCGCCGCCTGGTCCCTGAGATGCGAGCGCCGGCAGCCGTGCCAACACAGCTCCCGGTCCTGGCGGACGCCTCCCGCGGGCGCGCCCGAGCCTCCGCTCCCCGCCGGCCGGGTAAGTGCCCCGGGCGCGCTCCGCGGCTCTGTCTCCGTGGTGGAGACCCGCGCGCAGAGCCATCTCCCCAAGGGCTCCCCTCCACTCACCCCATCCTCATGTCTCCAGGCCCGGGAGTCCAACCGGCAGCTCCTCACCTAAAAATAAAAAAAGAACTTTCGAGGGACTCCGGTGCACTTCCATTGCTTGTGGTCACTCAGTTTCCGACCTGGGAGCGTCAGACAGCCCCCTCCCCCAGCTTTGGAAGAGTTGGGCCGATTGCCCTTAGCTCTTGGCCCAGTTTCCCTCGGAAATGTTTCGGGCAGATGCTAGGGGTTGTGGGGGGAGACTTGGAACCGAACCCCTGAGCCCTCCCCAGGGTAGCTGGTGAGGGTGGGGGGCCCCAGAGCTGGGGGTGTGCAGCTCAGCCCCCTCCTTCCAGGCAGGGAGTGCCAGCCTTGGTTCTCACACTCGAGAAGGCTGAAGGCATGTGTTCCAGGAATTCACTGGGCTTCAGTTAGTGGCACCAAGAAAATTTTTCTCCCTAAAGTCTTACTTTGAGTGGTGGAAAATCCCCAGCTTGTGGGCACTTTGTGAGAGGCACTGGGCTGCCCACAGGGCAGGTGACCAGTCAGAGGTCAGAGGCCAGAGGCCTTGGGAGGTTAGCCCTGGGGTTTCTGTGTCTGTCTCCCAGTTGGTCTGAGGGGCTGGGGCCGGAGGCTGCCCCCTTGGAAGCGTCCAGCGGGTCTCCAGCTGTGGCTGCCCCGTGACTCACGTGGGGCCTGTGTGTGACCAGCCGCAGGCTCTGACCCTCGAGGGGCTGGGCGCAGACTGGAGGCATGAGAGCGTGCCCTGGGCACTTGCCCTCTCACTCCGGGTACTCGACAGTCGTGACTGGACCTCTCCCAGCCCGGTCAGCGGCCTGGCCCACCCGGGCCGTCTCCAGGGGCCTCTGGTGGAGGCGGGCTCCTGAGCCTGGCCGGTCTCCGCCCAGCGTCCGCCATCAGGGCCTCCAGCCTGACTTCTGCAGCCTCTTGGGCCAAAGCCTGATCCCGGTGGTCTCGGGACCCACTTGTGGGCAGGTGAGCGGCTTTCTGTCCCCCCCGGGGGGGTGCGGTCTGTGCTGGCTCCAGCCACCGGGGCCAGCAGACCGCGCCTGTGGTCTGTGTGCTGGTGAGGACTTCGGGGTGGTCCTGGGCAGAGCTTGGACTTGGACCTTGGGCTTTGTCCCCTCTTGATTTGGCCCCAGAGTGGGGCAGCTGCGTGGGCAGGGGCTCACATGCTGGGCGGGAGCCATGGGCACTGCTCTGTGGTGTGGGAGGCTCTTTTATTTTTGTTTTTTGCTTATGTGTATTTTCTGAAGTGGACAACTATCATTTTTACCATGAAAGGGTCTTAGGAAAGCCCAGATTTCTCCGAGCAGCACAGTTGGCTCAGAGCTCCAGGAGGCCAGCCCCGCGCTGCTCGGTGGTGCGTTTCTGGGGAGGATGATCCAGGCCCGCCAGGGCTGCATCTGTTTGAGGAGAGTGTGCAAGTGGTCAGGAAAATGGAGCCCGTGTTGAAGATTCCTAGGGCACGACAAGGCTCTTCCAGGGAACAGCAGCATCCTGGGGTGCCTCTCCCACCCCTGACGGGGTGCCTGGCATGTGTTTGTTTGCTCCGGTGCTTTTTGCCGTAACTTGTGTTTTTAGGGCCTTACCACTCTGGGACTTTGTGGGCTGGCTGTGTGCACGCTGGGGAAGGGCTGCTCCGGGGAGCCTGGCTCCATCTCAGGTCCTGCTGCTGGAGGGGGTTTGTACGGAGGGAAGTAAGGGGTCAGCACCACCCCCTCGATGTGTCCCCCCCCGGCTCATCTCCCCTGTCACCCCCACTCCGCGCCACCCCTGGTCCGAGCTTTGGGCTCGTTTAGGGAATAGTGGTGCTGGGGAGGGGTCTCCTGGGGCCGTGCAGGTCAGCCCCCCCCCCCCACTTTGGGTCTTGACGGGGCTCAGTGGGTCTCTGAGTGCCCGGCCCCTCTCGGGTGTGGGGGAGTGTCCCTGCCCGGTGTCCCCTGAGGCTGGGCCGGGTCTGGGTGCGGCTCAGTCCTCTCCTGCTGGCATTAAGCGGCTTTGCAATTCAGATGGCACGACTTCACCCTCTGGATTCCAGCCCCCGAGGCTCTGACCTGGCTTCCCAGAGAAGGGCAGGCCTGGTGGCCGTGGCTCCGGGTGAGCTGAGAAGGCTGGACCCTTCCCAAGCATCTGCCCACCTATCCCTGTTCCGGCCTGCGGCCACCAGGCCCAACTCACCCGCCCCAGCCCATCTCCAGAGCTCTTGTTTCCTCGGACTTCTCACCCCGCAGCCTCAAAGCCAGCTGTTGCCCCCCAAGCCCTGCAGCTGCCCCCCTGCCCAGAAACCACCCCAGCCCTGCCGGGAACACCCCACTAGCGCTGCCACCACTGGGTCCTCTTCGCCACTCCAGACATTTTATTTCTATTTATATAGAAATTTGTGTTCTTTGTTTTTAGTATGGTAACATTCAATTACATAAAATTGACCATTAAAGAATTTACAGTCCCGTGGTATTTATTGAGTATATTGCCAAAGCTGTGCAACTACCACTTCTGATTCCAAAACATTTTCTTCATCCCAAATGGAAACGCCATATCCTTCAAGCAGTCACTCCCCCTTCTTTTTCCCTCCAGCCCCTGGCACTCATCTCCTTTCTGGACATTTCCTCTACATGGAATCAATGTGTACCCTTTGGGGCCTGCCTTCCGGCCCGTAGCATTGTGTTTCCAAGCTCCATCCGTGTTGTAGGGACATTAGGGCTTCACTTCTTCTTACGGCTGAGTATAGTCCACAGTGTGGATGGACCACGTTTTGTTTATCTGTTCATCAACTGATGGGCATTTGGGTTGTTTCAGCTTTTTGGCTCTGGTGAATAATGATGCTGTGAGTATTTGTGTGCCAGATTTTGTCTGAACGTATGTTTTCAGTTCTTTTGGGCTAGGAGTGGAATTGCTGGTATAGTATCGTGACTCTTGTGTTTCACTTTTCGAGGAAATTCTGAAATGCTTTCTATAGGAGCTGTGCCATTTTCTACCCCCACCAACAAGGCACTCAGAACCCATTTTCCCTACATCCTCACCAACATTTGTCATTTTCCTTTTTAAAAAAATTATAGCCGTCATCGTGGGTGTGGAGTGGTATCTCATTGTGAGTTTGATTTGTATTTCCCTAGTGACTCATGATGTTGAGCATCTTTTTATGTACCTGTTGACCATTTGTATGCTTTTTGAGGGAGAAATATCTATTCAGGTCCTTTGCTCATTTTTAATTAGGTTGTTTGTCTTTTTGTTGTCGAGTTTTAAGAATTCTTTTTATAGCCTGAATACTAGACTTTATCAGATATGTGATTTATACTTAATATTCTCTGTGTGATTGTCTCTTCACTTTCTTGATAGTGTCCTTTGAAATCCACGTTTTAAATCTTGATGAAGTTCGATTTATCTCATTTTTATTTCCTTACTTGTGCTTTTGGTGAAGAATCCATTGCCAAAGTTAAGGCTGAAAGAAACATAGCATTATGTTTCCTTCAAGAGTTTTGTAGCTTTAGCTCGTATCCTCAGGTCTTTAACTAACTGGCTGGTTTTTGTTGCTGGCAGCTGGCTCCCCCACCCTTCAGTGTGTGCATGTCCAGCTGTCCAGCATCTTTTGGTGAGGGGGCCCTTCTTCCCCATCGAACGGACTCGTTGTTGAAAATCCATAGACCACACGTGTTTATTCTTATGCCACATCTCTCTTCAACGCCTTTAAAGCCCTTTTATTATGAAAGTTTTCAAACCTTCTACAAAAGTGGAGAGTTTTATAATGAGCCCAATTTATTCATCAAGCAGCATAAACCCCACACTACTCCCCAGATTACGTAGAAACAATCTCTGACATGTCATTCTTTCACAGGTGTTAGCATATATGTATCTCTAAAATGTGTAGACTTTTAAAATCAGCGTTTTATGTGTTTTTTTACTTAATTTTTTAAAATTGAGAGACTTTAGTTAATATAAAGAAGTATCAGCAACAGTGAAAAGAGAGCTCAAAAGGGTACTCAGGACTGAGGGAGGTGCCCAGAGGGCTCACTTGGGTGTGGGGGTTCAGGCTCCAGGAGAGTGGGGGTGGTTGCCCTGTTTCTCAGCCCCTGGCATGGGAGGGCAGGAGCACACAGGCGGTGGGATGTGTGGGAGCCGGAAGCCCCTGGTGGTGGAGGGTGTCCCACGGCGCTCACTGCAGAGAAGAGGTGCCGGGAGGGCCCAGCCCTGGAGCAGGCAGGTGCCTGGCACACGGGGTCCCTGGGGACCGTCCCCCGAGTCCCCCCCGCTGCCGGGCGCCACCACGTCCCCCTCCTGGCCTCTGTGCTGTAGGTGCCTTATTCATCTGCATAGGTCGTAAACCCCACAACACACTGTTGTCGTTGTTTTAAACAGTCAATTATCTTTTACAGATATTTAAATGGTAAGAAGGGTCCCACATTTTTACCCGTGCAGTTACCACTTCCTGTGCTTTCTGTTCATTTGTGGATCCACGTTTCCATCTGGTATCATTTTCCTTTGGCCTGAAGACACTCTTTCACATTTCTTATAGTGTGGGTCAGCTGGCAATGAATACTTTCAGCTTTTTCATGTCTGAACAAGTCTTTATTTAGCCTTAATTTTCTGCAGTGATTTCCACAGTGTCAGGAATTCTGCTTTCATGCCTTCTTCTCCAGTGCTTTAAGGATGCGGCTCACTGAGTCCTCCGCATCCGTGTTTCTCTGGCGGCGTCTGTGGCCACACTTACCTGTACGTCTTTGTGCCCAACACTGCTCCCTGGCAGCTTCTAAGGTCACCCTCTTTACTGCTAGTTGTGAGTGATTTGACTTCGATGTGCCTCTCCTTCTTATGCTTGGGATACCTTGACTTCTTGAATCTGTAGGTTTGCAGTTTTCACTGTTTGGACAAATTTCTGCCGTTATTACTTACTTCTGTCACCTCCTTTGTCCTCCTATTCTTTAGGGCCCCAGCTACACATACTAAGCCTCTTGAAATATCCAAATATTTGATTTTTATTTTGATGCTATTGTAAATAGTATGGTTTTTTAAAATATCTGTATTTTGTTGTTCATTGCTAGTGTATGGAAATACAGTTGACTTTTCTATATTGTCCTTTTTCTCTGTGACCTCGCTGAACTCAGTTATTATAAGAGATTTGTCATAGCCAAATTTTATTATTTCCTGGGTGTACCGTCGTGTTGTCTGTGAAGGTTAAGGGGCATGATGACAGAAGACGTCTTTGTCTTCATGGTCTCTGGGCATGTATTCAGTCTTTCACTGTTAGGTGTGATGTCAGCTGTACATCTTTTCGTAGATGCCTTTTATCAGGTTGGGGTTTTCTGATGGCTCAGCTGGTAAAGAATCCACCTACAATGCAGGAGACCTGGGTTCAATTCCTGAGTTGGGAAGATCTCCTGGAGAAGGGAATGGCAACCCACTCCAGTATTCTTGCCTGGAGAATTCCATGGACAGAGGAGCCTGGCGAGTTACAGTTCATGGGGTCAAAAAGAGTTGGACATACATGAGTGACTAACACTTTATCAGGTTAATTAAGTTCCTTCTATTCCTAGTTTAATGAGAGTTTTAAAAATCATTCTACATAGATTTGGCCTCATGCATTTTATATATGTTGAGGTGACCATATATTTTTTTCTTTTGTTCATAAATAAAGCGAATTATACTCAATTTCTTGAATTCCTTGAGCAAAACTCACTTGTGATATGTTATGCTCTTTATATATTTCTGGTTCCCATTTGCTAACATTTAATTGAAGATTTTTGTGCCTGTGTTCATGAGGGATGATTTTTGTCTATAGTTTCCTCAAAACATCTTTGGTTTTGGTATCAGGGAATGCTGAACTTAAATAAATTAGTTGTCAGTTTTAAATTTGATTTTTAGGTTTTTGCAGAGAATTGTATGGCTTCTTCCTTAAATTGGTAGACTTCACCAGTGACTCCACCTGGGCTTTTGCTTTTGTTTGTCGTAGGAGTAGATACAGGCTCAGCAGGTTATCTTTCCTGGGTGAGTTTGGCAGTCTATGTCATTCGGGAAACTGGCTCATCCCATCTGAGCTGTGGAATCTGTGGGGTGTTTGTCTTAGTCTCCGTAGTGACAGTGCTCATCGCTCAGTCGTGTCTGACTCTGTGCAACCCCGTGGCCTGTAGCCTGCCAGGCTTTTCTGTCCATGGAATTCTCCAAGCAAGAGCGGGCTGCCTTTCCCTTCTGTAGGGGGTCTTCCCGACCTAGGGATTGAATCGGGTCTCCTGCGTTGCAGGCAGATTCTTTTCCGTCTGAGCCACCAGGGACGCCCCTTAATCTCCCTGGACTGCCTCAACAAGACACACAGACCCAGGGGCTTGGACAGCACCTGCGAATAATGAAGGTTTATTTCTCACAGTTCCAGCGGCTGTGAAGTCCAAGATCACGGTGCCCGCTGACCTGACTTCTGGTGAGAAGGGGCTGCTTAGCTCGCACGCAGTGAAGAGTGTTGTCCTCTCTTTCCCTCTTCTTGTGAGGCCAACAGTTCTGGCAGCACAGGGTTCCACCTGGAAGACCCCATTTAACCCTAATCGCCTCCTTGCAGACCCATCTCCAGGACAGTCAGATGTGGAACCAGGGCTTTAACACGTGAACTTGCAGGGCACACAGCTAAGTTCAAGGCTGTGTTCTCCTGTTTTCCTTCTGATGGTTGTGGCATCTGTAGTAATGTCCCTTTGTTACCGAAAGAGTGAGGTGGGGCCCGGCTGCTCGCTGCAAAATCTGTTACCAAAAGGTATGTGGGGCTGGCTACTCACTGCCCCAAAGTCAGTAAACAGGCCAGGTTGGTGGAAAGTTTACTTTATTTCAGACGCTGGCAGCTGGAACGGAGAGAGGATGGCAGATGTCTGTCCAAAGGCTGACTCCCACCCCCTACTGGCAACCAGCAAGGCAAGAGCTTTTATAGACAGAAGTGATGGTGGTGGGGGGTGGGGTGGGTTTCTACATGCAGAAACAGCAGAAACAGCACAGTCAGCTCTGACAGTCTTCTTCAAATTGGTGGTCTTCACCATCTTCATCAGTGGTCTGACCAACATCATTCTGGTTGTTTTAGGTACAGTTAATTTTCAGCTCCAGGGTCAGTTTGTTACCATTTCTTTGAGGCCAGTTCATGGGTACCGTCTGGTCATCATGCAGTTTTAAATTCTCCATCTGGTGTTTTAGTGTCTGTAAGACGGCTCACAGGATATGGCTCAGAATATTATATACAGCCTTTGAGAAAGCGTTAAAGGTCCTCGACTGTGCTAATGACTGCGTTATTATTTAGTCTCTGACTGTTTTCCTTTGTTTCTGCATTTCTCACTGCTCTGATTAAACTTATTCTTTGACTAAAGTTTTCTGCAGACAAAAGACAGATAGAGGAATTGGTAGGGGGCAAGGGCCATAGGGTCCTCTTCTGTTTCACCTTCTTTCATTCATGATATTGGTAATTTGTCTCTTCTCTATTTTTTGATCAGCCTGGCAAGAGGTTTATCAATTTTGTTGGTCTTTTCAAAGAACCAGCTCTTGGCTTCGTTTATTTTTCTGTTTTTCTGTTTTAAGTTTCACTGAGGGACTTCTCTGGCAATCCAGTGGGTAGGACATTGCCTTCCGATGCAGGGAGTGCAGGTTTGATCTGTGGTTGGGAAGCTAAGATCCCACATGCCTCCAGGTCAAAAAAAAACCCCCAAAACAAACAAACAGAAGAAACATAAGTTTTATTGATATTTCCACATTTCTGCTTGATTTGGATTTGTTTTCTTGTAGTTACTTTAAGTGGAAGCTTAGGTTACTTACCTGGAACCTTTAATTTTTTCCTACTATAAACATTTAATGGTACGTTTCCATCAAAGTACTTCTCAGCTGTACTCCATAAAGTCTGATGTGTTGTTTTTTTCATTCAATTCAAAATACTTCTAAATTTCTTTGAGACTTTCTCTTTTACCTGTGGTTATTTGCATACCAGATAGTTGGGAATTTTCCATATATGTTTCTAGTTTAATTCCATTATTATTAGAGAACATACTTTGTATGATTTTTATTCTTTTAAGTGTGTTAAGGATTACTTTACGTTTCAGAATATGGTCTGTCTTGAATGTTCCAACTACAAAGAGTGTGGACTCTGCTGTTGTTGGGTGAAATGGTCTATATATACTTCAATTAGTCTATGTCTGTTGTTTGGATATTCCACAACTTTTTTGATTTTCTATATTGATTACTGAGAAGATTGAAGGCAGGAGAAGAAGGGCCCGACAGAGGATGAGATGGTTGGATGGCATCACCAACTCAATGGACAGGAGTTTGAGTAAACTCTGGGAGTTGGTGATGGACAGGGAGGCCTGGCGAGCTGCAGTCCATGGGGTCGCAGAGTCAGACACGACTGAGCGACAGAACAGCAACGATCAATTAGTGAGAGAGGAATGTTGAAGTCACTGGTGAATTATCTTCTCATTTTTTTTTAGTTTCTGCTTCATGCACTTTGAAGCTCTGGTGGTGCATTGTTATTGAGAAACATGGGCCCATCCATCCTCGCGCGGCGTCCCTGTCTGTGCTGGTGACTCCTTTGTCTGAAGTCAGCTTTGTCTGACGCTCACTCAGCTATTCACATGGCTACTCCAGCTGGACTTTGGATTGGTGTATCTTTTTTGATCCATTCACTTTACCTACTTTTGCCAGTAGTCAAAGTGTGTTTCTTATGCTTAGAGTGGATTCATGGCATGTTTCCGGCATTGTCACATCACTTGCTGAACGTAGAGGAAAGGGTGGAAGTCATGAGTTTGAATCTGCTTCCTCTTCCAGGTTGGACACTCGAGGCCAGGCAGGGCTGCTGGCCTCCTCTCTGCGTCTGCTGGCGCGGAGCCTGACGCCAAGGGTCATTGGTCTGCAGGGCGCCCATGAGGCTCAGCCCCACTGCACGGGAAACCGAGGTTCTGATGTGTGTCCTGAGGTGACGGGTAGGCTGCCCAGCCTCGGACCACAGTCACGGGGCTGCTCCCTCGGCCGGCGTTTGTGTCCACACTGCAGGTGGCGGCCACCAGGCGTGGTCAGCGGGCTCAGTGCAGCTCTGAGTTAGTGGCCAAAGCAGATGCCCGGTGTGGTGGCATCGAGAGAGATTTTACATAGAAAAGAGGAAGCCCATGTGCCCAGAAGTGTAGACCTTGGGGGAAGTGGGCTGCTGGGAGGGGACAGATGGGCCACAGGCAGCGGGGGTGGGGGGCGCCTGCCCGGAGCCCCGACCCAGCGCTCAGCCCTCTGTGCCCGCGGCCCAGTGTCCTGCTGGAGCAGCGACTCCTGTTTCCAGTCGCTTTAGGGGGCCTACCTGCCGGGAGCCTTCCCAGCACAGGGCTGTCCCCTCAGGAATGTGGTGACAGGACCGGGTCCTCGGGCCACCCTGGGGGTCCAGAGGCCACCCGTGGAGAAGGGGCGCGGCAGCAGCCTGCTCCCACGCTCGGGGCCTGGACCTGGGGGCCGTGGTTCACGCCCGGGCATTGTGCCCTCGCACGCCTCGCTGGGTGGGCACGCCCTGGCCGCCGCCTCAGGGCTTGGGGCATTGTGTGGACACCCGGCTCCATTCAGTGTGACCGACTTGACGCTCCCTCTCTTTTAGGGCCCGAGATGATGATCCCACCGGGGGAGTGCCTGTACGCCGGGAGGAAACGCAGGAAACCCGTTCAGAAACAGTAAAGTATCATGTCTTTGCTGACGGCTGCTGACGGAGGGGAGGCCTTGTGTTTTCATTAGAAAAAGTGAATTTCAGGAAGAAAGCGAGTGAGGCAAGGGTTCTGTCAGGCCTTCCCGAGGGCCAGGCACCCTCAGGATCTTGGGGTCTTGGCTGCGGGGCGTGGGGGCAGGACCCTGGGCCACTTTCCCAGCCCTGATTGCAGCTGAAGTCTGGCCAAGGGGTACCCCCCTGCCTGGGTGAGACTGTTTCCAGCTGGACACACCCCAGTGCCCTTGGGCTTCACCCCAAGTGAGAGGAGACCGAGGCTCATCCTCCCAGCCTCCAGGAGGCTGAGTTGGGGGGTACCCCAGGCGTGGCCCCCACCAGCCCTGTCTGTGGCTGCCCGGTGGGGCTCGGAGCCTCCATGCGGGCACCCTGCAGTCTTGCAAGTGGCCAGCCAGCTGCAGAGAACAGCCCTCAGAGCCTGGGTCCAGGTTCTGGGATGCATCCACCGTGTAGGGCTATGTGTGTGTGTGTGTGTGTGTGTGTGATCATATGTGTGCGTGTGCAGTGTCACTTCCTGTGTGTGACACAGCTCTGTCAGTGTGTGTATGTGTGTGCACCTGCAGTTGTGTCTGTGTGGGTGTCCAGGTTTCTGTGACTCAGGCAACCCTCCAGCCCCTGGGGGCTGCAGGACCCGTGAGAGGTTGACAGGAATGGGGACCCCTCCAGCCCCAAGGACGGGCTGCAAGACTGGTGAGGCTGGACTTTGGAAAGTGGCTGTCACCTGAGTCAGCTGTGTTGCTTCTGTGACCTTGGGATGGGGCTGGGGGCAAGTGTGCGGCCTAGTCTGCGGGGGGCGGGGGGACAGCAGAGTTATACACCCAGGGAGAGGCCGGGCAACGTCCTGAGCTCCTCTGCTCTGGTGAGAACACTTGTCTTCTTAGATAGGAAAAGAAAGGACCTGGAGACACAGCTGTGTGCCCTGGGATCTGGGGACTGGGGCATGTCCGCCAGGATCCAGGGGGGCGTGTCCGCCAGGATCCAGGGGGGCGTGTCCACCAGGATCCAGGGGGGCGTGTCCACCAGGATCCAGGGGGGCGTGTCCACACCTGGGGGCTGAGAGCAGCCAAACCAGCCAAAACAGTGTTTATCAGGGCAGCTCCCCGCCTCTGTGCACGAGGGGCCAGCCGTGTTTGCACACCTGGCAGTGAGCCTGCGACAGTTCCTCGAGGATTCCTTGTCCAGCAGTCCAGGACGTACCACGGTGTGTGGGCCCCAGCCCCCCGCCAACGCCTGCTCAAGCTGTCTCACGGGTGTCTACTGTGACTTCAGGCCTCGTGTTGAACTCTCCCCCGTCTTTGCAGAGGCGGCTGCCCTGGCCGCGTGCTGGCTTTTCCTCATGGGCTGAGCAGGCTCGTTGAGTGTTCACGCTGGGAGTGGTGGACTCCTTGGCTTTGACACAAAGCCCACACTGCAGCCCCTGCCTGGCCACATCTGTGTCACCCTTGTGGACTTGGGGGCGCGGGTCAGTGATGCAGACAGAGGGGCACACCCTGCTGTGCTGTGAGCAGTGAGTTTCCTGCTGAGCTGGGGAGCTGGTGCCTCGGCCAAGACTGGTGGCCAGCAGCAGCTCATCAGCTTGCAAGCAGGTGATTCAAGGCCAGACCCAACAGGCACGTGTGTTCCTACAAGTGGCATTGCTCAGGCCAGGAGTGTGGTGTTTGTGATTTCACAGGTGTCACCACACTGGCCAGTGCTGGAGCTGAGCCCTGCCAGTGCACGGTGCTCCTCGGTTTTGGGGAATGTGGGTGCTTTTCTCAGACGCAAGCCTGGCAGACACGCTGTCTCCTTTTCTGGGACTGTCTATGTTGACAGCTTTCGCTCACTTTTCTATCGGATTGTTTATGTTTTTGTGCTTCGTGATTTGTGAGAGCTTTTTGTACACTGGGGATACAAATTCTTGACCATGTTTCACATACTTTCCGCCAGTTTTTATTTCACTTGTGCTATTCTTTGCCATGCAAAAAGCACTTAATTTTCATGTAGTTGAGTTTATTAATCTTTTCCTTTGTGGCTAATTTTATGTCACATTTAGAAAGGTCTTCCGTGCGTCAAGTTTATGAGAATTTTCCTAGAAGATCTTGAATATACATTTGGAAGTTCTGAGCCTTTGGAGTCTTTCCTGGTGAAAGGTGTGTGTTCTGAATCTGTTTCTTCTTCCCTGTGGCTGCTGGTGGTTCCCAGGATTTCTGTTGGATGAGCAGTGTTCTCTCCGATTTGTCATGGTATTGGGCATTCAGATCTGTGATTTCAGGGAAGGCGGAGGACCCCTGAACACACTCACCCAGCTGTGCCTGTGGACATGGCCCTGATGGCCTCTCTGGGCACCCGTGTCTGTGGGTTGCAGAGGCTGGAGAGGCAGCTGGGATGTGTACCGGGGTGTGAGCCCCATGTGCCAGCTGCAGTCCTGCCCCCTCGCGGAGGCTATGGGCTGTGGGTGGGCAAAGAAAGTCTGGAGCCTGCCATAGATGGACTGCAAGGTGGAACCTGCTAGAAGCCCAGGTGAGAACGTGCTCCCCCAAGGCCCAGGGCTGGGCCCACGCTGAGCAAGCAGGGCAGGCTGCAGGGTCCCTGCCCCCGGCTGCTAGGGGCAACTGGGCCCACCCCCGTCCCTTTTGGGCCCCCGCTCCTCACCGTGAGGGGTGACCGGGTCCTTGCCCCCTGCCCACCGCGGTGAGGGGTGACCATGTCCCCGCCCCCCGCCGTGAGGGGTAACTGTGGCAGTGAAGGTCCCCGTGCTCTTGGGGGCGGCACCTTGCACCCTGAGCTCAGAGGTGTGTGAGCAACGGGGTGCCCCTTGTCTCCACTTCTGTCTTCTTGTGCCTGGCTGTGACCAGAGCGCCCTGGGCTGAGAGCGCTCGCTGCACGCGGTCTGATCCGTGTGGGGACTCGGGGTGGCTCGAGAAGGCCCTCCTGAAACTGAGGTTAGCGAGGCTCTGTCGCGTCTGAGGCTCCTGTGCCTGCCATTCCTCCACGGCCTCACAGGCGACCTTGCCTGCGCCCCCGTCCTGCAAGCGGATCTGCACTTCCTGGGACTTTCCACGAAGGGGACCTTCTCCACGTGGGAGCTTCAGTCCCCTGTCGTGATGATGTAGCTTCCTCCGCACTTGTGTGCCCCTCGTGTGGGTGAACCACGTGTGGTTACTCATCTCCAGTGACAGTTGGGTGGGTCCCAGGTTGGGGTGTCACCAGCAAAGCTGCTGTGAACATTTATGTTTGAGTCTTCGGGTGTGTGCCTTCATTTCTCTTGGGTGGGATTGAGTCCGTGTGCAGTCGAGGAGGGCTCGACTTTCTGAGAATCCACCAGACAGATGATTTTCTGAGCAGCTTTGCTGTCCATGCTGCTGGTGGCAGGGCGCGGGGCTCATCCGCCTCCTCACAGCGCCTGGGTGTCCGTCCTGGTCTCAGCTCCCCGACCGGCTGTGGTGGAGGCTCACCGTGACTTTACGTTACATTTCTCCGGTGAGGAACGGTGCTCATGGCCTTTCCTGTGCTTATTTGCTGTCCATAGAGCTTCTCCCGTAAAGAGTTTGTCTAAATAACTCATCTGTCTTCTTATTGGGCTGTTTGTCTTCTTGTTGAATTGTGAAACTTCTTTAAGTATTCTGTATATAGGCTCTTGTGAATATTTTTAGCCAATTAATCTATGGCTTCCCTTTTAATTTTCTTAATGGTGACTTTCAAAAGTCATTTTAAATACTTTGAAAAAAATAAATTTACCATTTTTTTCTTTCACAGTATTTTTAGTGTGTGCCCTGAGAGTCCCAGGACTCCTTCCAGGGTCTCCAAGATTTTCTAATGCATTTTCTTGTAAAGTTTTATGGTACATTTTAGACTTAGGCCTACAGTCTGTTTTGATCTAATTTTGGTATTGTGTGAGGTAAGGATTGATGTTTACTTGTTTTCTCGGCTGTCCAGTTGATTAGCACCATTTGTTGAAAAGAGTTTCTTTTCCTATTGAATTTCGTTAGTGTCTTTGTCAAGTGAATTGACCAAAAGTATGTGGGTCTGTTTCTGGATCCTCTCTTCTGCTCCAGTGATCTTTTTCCATCTTTGTCTGAAACCAAACCAAAATGGAACACTTAACTCCGAGAGGATTATGGTCAGTCAGGTAAGTCCTCCAACTCTGCCCTCTGACTGACGATCCCCTGCACATCCACATAAAGTCTAGACTGCTTGTCGTTTCTGCAAAAAGTCCTGCTGAGATTTCTGTCAAGGCTCCGTCGATTCCACAAGTCACTTTGGAGGTAACACCGTCTTAACAGTACCCAGCCTTACTGGCTGACTTTCCATTGTTTGTGTCTCTTTCCTCAGCACTGTTAAGGTGTCAGGGTGTCTCCTGTTGGACTTGTCCCGGGTGTTTTAGGTTTCTGGCTTTTGGGTCCCTCACCTCCTGCCGAGTCTCCACCCTGCAGAGTTGGGGCTTGCCCCCATGGCCCTGAGCCCGAGCCTGAGGTCAGCTCAGAGGGGCGCTTCCCTACAGTGGCCCCTCACCCACCTGGTGGGGGCGAGGGTCTCTGCCCCAGCCCCTGGAACCAAGGCCTGGGGAGGTGTGTTGGGCTGCATTCGAGGGGAGCCAGGTGCTCGATTTGAGAAAGCTGGAAGGACAGAGCCTTGCCAGCCCCCGGGTCTTCAGTCAGGAGTGTCCCCGGAGCCTCATGGGGTGGGAGTGGGGACAGTCACCACTCAGCCCATCCCAGGTGTGGGTGGGGGCCTGCTCCCCACAGATCTGCCCACAGCGAGGTCTTTGCCCTCCTCTGGCCCCGCATCTGCCCTCAGCGCTGCTCTGCTTTCTGGGGAGGCCTTGAGTTCTCTCCCTTCTGGGCGGGGCTACCCTCTGGTTGGCACGTCCAGTCCACACGAGGCTGCTCCATCTCCCCACGCCTCCTGGCTCTGGATTTTGTTAGCAGATGACCAATGTTGGTGTAGGCACCTCATTAAGGAAGAAAAAAGAAAAGAAGCCAAAGAAAGTCACTAGATAACCAGAGAATGGGAGAAAATGTGTGTATCTGTTAAGGATCCAGTATCCTGAATATATGAAGACTTCCTACAACTCAAGAGCAAAGGAAATGGCAGCCCACTCCAGTGTTCTTGCCTGGAGAATCCCAGGGACAGGGGAGCCTGGTGGGCTGCCGTCTGTGGGGTTGCACAGAGTTCGACACGACTGAAGCGCCTTAGCAGCAGCAGCAAGAGCAAACAACCCAATTTAAAATTGGGCGAAAGGCTCGAGTAGACATTTCTCCAAAGGAGATACAGAGATGGCCAACAAGCATGTGAGAAGATGCCCAACATTATTGGTCATTCATTCATTCAGTCAGTTCAGTCGCTCAGTCGTGTCCGACTCTCTGTGACCCCACGGACAGCTGCATGCCAGGCCTCCCCGTCCATCACCAACTCCCAGAGCTTGTTCAAACTCATGTCCATTGAGTCAGCAGTGCCATCCGACCATCTCATCTTCTGTTGTTCCCTTCTCCTTCTGCCTTCAATCTTTCCCAGCATCAGGGTCTTTTCAAATGAGTCAGTTCTTCCCATCAAGTGGCCAAAGTATTGGAGTTTCAGCTTTAGCATCAGTCCTTCCAATGAATATTCAGTACTGATTTCCTTTAGGATTGACTGGTTTGATCTCCTTGCAGTCCAAGGGACTCTCAAGTCTTCTCCAACACCACAGTTCAAGTGCATTAGTTCTTGGTGCTCAGTTTTCTTTGTGGTCCGACTCTCACATCCATACGTGACTCCTGGAAAAACCATAGCCTTGACTAGACGGACCTTTGTCGGCAAAGTAATGTCTATGTTTTTAATATTCAGTGATTTTGGAGCCCCCAAAAATAAAGTCAGCCACTGTTTCCATTGTTCCCCCATCTATTTGCCATGAAGTGATGGGACCAGAGGCCATGATCTTAGGTTTTTGAATGTTGAGTTTTAAGCCAGCTTTTTCCACTCTCCTCTTTCACTTTCATCAAGAGGCTCTTCAGTTCCTGTTCACTTTCTGCCATAAGGGTGGTGTCATCTGCGTATCTGAGGTTATTGATATCTATCCCGGCAATCTTGATTCCAGCTTATGCTTCATCCAGCCCAGCATTTTGCATGATGTACTCTGCATGTAAGTTAAATAAACAGGGTGACAATATACAGCCTTGAAGTCCTCCTTTCCCAATTTGAAACCAATCTGTTGTTCTATGTCTGGTTCTAACTGTTGCTTCTTGACCTGCATACAGGTTTCTTAGGAGGCAGGTAAGATGGTCTGGTATTCTCTTCTCTCAAGGAATTTTCCACAGTTTCCATACAATCAAAGTCTTTAGCGTAGCCCATGAAGCAGAAGTAGGTGTTTTTCTGGAACTTTCTTGCCTTTTCTATGATCCAGCAGATGTTGGCAATTTGATCTCTGGTTCCTCTGCCTTTTCTAAACCAAGCTTGTACATCTGGAATTTCTTGGTTCGCATACTGTTGAAGCCTAGTTTGGAGGATTTTGAGCATGACCTTGCTAGCATGTGAAATCAGTGCAACTGTGCAGGTAGCTTGAACATTCTTTGGCTTTGCTCTTCTTTGGGACTGGAATGAAACTGACCTTTTCCAGTCCTGTGGCCACTGCTAAGTTTTCCAAATGTGCTGGCATTTTGAGTGCAGCACTTTCACAGCATCATCTTTTAGGATTTGAAATAGCTCAGCTGGAATTCCATCACCTCCATTAGCTTTGCTCATGGTGATGCTTCCCAAAGCCCACTTGACTTCACACTCCAGGATGTCTGACTCTAGCTGAGTGATCACACTGTTATACCATCACACGTATGAGAATGTTATTTTAAAAAGGACAATAGCAAGTATTGGTGAGGCTGTGAAGTATGGCTGGTGTGGAAGACGGTTTGGCAACTCCTCAAAAAGTTAAACATAGAATCACAGGGCCATGGAACATGACTCAGCTCTGAGAAGTAGTGAAGTTCCACAGAGGCTGCCTGATGGACGAAGCTTGACTGTGTGATGGTCAGTGAAGGATGCCAGCCGTGAGAAGTCTGATTCCATTTATAGAAATGTCTCAACAAACAAATCCAGAGAGACAGAGAACAATTGTGGCCACTGGGGGCTGAGAGATGAGAGAAGCTGCTTGGTAGGAGTGTTACCTGGGGGTGAAAAAATGTTTTGGAGCTTGATGGAAGTTGACAGCTCTGTGAATGTCCTAAGTGCCAGCACGCTTTCACTTTGAAGCAGCTTTATGTTACGTGAATTACAGCTCAGTCAAGAGAAAGAAGCAGCCACGGTGGAGCTTCTGCTCTTGTGTGGTTTTGTGTGGCCTTGGCCCCCCATGGCCGCGTGGGTGGGGGGTGCCCAGGGGTTTCTGACCGAAAGGACTGTGTGGGGCAGGTTTCCATGTACTTACAAGTGAGCGTGCGGTAGAGACACGGGACCTTCTGGACCCAGGAGCCCGGAGCCCCAGAAGGCTGCTCCCGACCTGGGGAGCGCGGGCCCAGGGGAGGCGGCCCCTGCCCAACTGGCCTAGCCTCGCTTTCTAGGAAGGAGGTTAAGGAGATGTTTCTGCGCGGAGGGGGTAGGTCCAGGGGCGGGTAAGAGGGCCCGTGAGGGCGGCCGCGGTGGGCAGGACGTCCAGCCTGGGCCGCTCCCTTGTAGGGAGCTTAGTAGGAGTGTTAGTAGCCTTAGTAGGAGGGGGAGCAGACCTGTGGCGGGGGCCCTGGCCTTCCGCTCGTGAGTGGAGGGGAGGGTGGAGGCACCATGGTACCCAGGCCGCCTTGCTCACCTTGGCCTTGTTAGCACCTTCCAGCCCTGCTGAGTAGGGGCACGCGGGCCCAGAGGGGGCACGCGGGCCCATAGGGGCCACGCAGGCCTCAAGGGCAGGACCCAGAGGAGCTCCCGAGAGAGCTGAGCTGTGTGCCCAGGGCTGGTGCCCGCTGCTACTGCAGAGTAGCAGCGTAGTAGCTGCTTTGTGCTCACCCCAGCACAAAGAGGCCACAGGGCCCTCCTGCTGGCTCTTTCCCGTCTCTGGGCCTCCCTCCAGAGCTGCGACCAGTGGCTGGCATGGTTGGTGCGGCCAGTGTGGACGATGTAGCTGGCGGGGCGTCTGTGGCTGGTACAGCTGGTGTGCCCAGCATAGCCTCTGTGGCTGGTGTAGCTGATGTGCCCAGTGTGGCCTCTGTGGCTGGCGTGGCTTATGTGGCTGGCATAGCTGATGTGCCCGGCGTGGCCTCTGTGGCTGGCATGGCCTCTGTGCCTGGCGTAGCTCATGTGGCTGGCATGGCCGCAGTCTAGCTTGTGCATCTCCAGGAACTGGTGCCTTTTCATCCCGTGAGGCACGTGTTTGCCGGCGGCCACTTTTTGTGGCCAAGTGCTCCTCCTGAGGTCACTGCCTGGGACGCTTTCCACCTGGGAGTCCCAGCCTGACTGAGGTCTTCCCCTCACAGGAGGCCTGCTGTGGGCGCCGAGAAGTCGAACCCTTCCAAGCGGCACCGTGACCGCCTCAATGCCGAGCTGGACCACCTGGCCAGCCTGCTGCCGCTGCCGCCCGACATCATCTCTAAGCTCGACAAGCTTTCCGTCCTGCGCCTCAGTGTCAGCTACCTGAGGGTGAAGAGCTTCTTCCAAGGTAAGACCCTCACCTCTGTCCGCCCGGGCCTCGCCTGGGCCCGCCTGGCTTCCCTGGTATGGGCCTGTCTTCGCTTCTCGTCTGGAGCCCTTTAGAGGCAGAGTGCTGAGTGCGACCGGCCAGAGCAGCCCTGGAGGGGAGGGGCCTGGTGTCGGCCCTCCCCCTGTTTGGCTCGCCTGCTTGGGGATGCTGTGCTGGGCCAGGTGCGGCCCTCCTCGGTGCAGGGCAGCTGGTGTGTCCGTCAGGCCCTTGCAATGCGCTGGGTACTTGCTTGTGCCTGGTGCCCCTGGGCAAGCCTTACTCTTCGCGTGGCCTGGCTGAGCTACTGGGGAAGAAATGTGGTTTTCACCGGCCTACTTCAGCCTTCGGCCATCAGCCCTCAGCCAAGTCTGAGCTTCTTACAAAACTGTGCATTTATTCTGTCTTCGGGCAGAGGTAAGATGAGTGTTTACAGTGGGCACGTGTGGACACCAGGGGGTGGCGGACAGCAGCTGACCACAGGCTCACGCTCTGCTCAAGGCTCTGGGAGTCAATGCGTGCACAGCCTCCTGTGGCCGAAACCCACCTTGGGCTGTGGTTAGCAGGGCCAGCCTCTGAGGCTGCGGCCCGGAACCACGGGGACCCGGGTCATACAGTGCCGGCCCCACTGCGGGGCTGGGGATGTGCGTGCGTCCGACATGCCTGAGGTGTGGCAGCCACTGTGCCTTGCTGGCTTTCTCGGCCTGGAAGGGAACTTTTCCTGAGGACTCAGGCTGCCTTCAACCTCTACACCCCCAGGGACCCGCTCACTGCACCCTCCAGCTGGGCCAGCGCCGACCAGCCTGGCACCGGGCCCTCCCGGCCTTCCCTTTGTCTCCTGGAGTGGGAACCCCAGTCCACCCACCACGGCTGGCCCTGGAGCCCCCTTTGTGTGAGGGTGCTGACAGGGTCTGGATCCCACTCCCGGGGTCCCACGGCCCCTCCCCTGTGTCCGGCTCCACTCTGGGGCTGGACCCCTGTTAGGGGTGCGCACGGCACACTGGGTGGTACTGACCCCAGTGAGCCGAGCTGTCCCTCGTGGAAAGGACCTCTGTCCCCGGGGGAGGCTGAGCACTCAGGGCTGTGTCTGCTGACCCAGGCTTGGTATTGGGGGCGGGGAGGTCCTTGCTCCTTGTGACACCCACGTGTCCACCCCCCACACACATACACGCGGGCTCAGGGAAATCATAGGGTGAGGACATGGGCAGAGTTTTGACAGCTTGGGCTGGGATTTGCCCAGCACCAGCCCAGGTTCGTCCCCCAGTAAATCACCCAGACCCCCCCGCCCCACCATGGCTGGAGGCACAAGCTTATGAAGCATTTTTGGAAAAGTAGGCTTGGAGGGCAGCAGAGAATGGTGGGTGCCATGGGGACAGGAATTTGGGGGGTCACCAGGAGTGTTGTGCTGGCTGGAGGGCTTCCAGGAGGAGGCGAGGGGGTTGGTGTGGTCTGCAGGCCGCATAGAGGCAGCCCCATCATGGAGCTGTCGAAGGGACCCTTGCTACTTCAGTCCTGCACTGAGAAGGCCCCACCCTCCCCAGCTGTGGTCTGGGCTCCTCCCCCATTAACTGGCGCCCTGCCCTGCCGGTGGCACCTCCCCGTGGCCAGCCCCGAGGCCCCCACGGATCCCCAGGTTCACACTTCTTGCAACCACCAGGAGTCCTGCATTCTCCTGTGTGTCCCACTGGCCCACCTGCAGAACTGGGCCTGAGTTCTGTCTGAGTCCCTCCCATGCCCACAGTCTCCTGTCCCTCCTTAGAGCACCTGTATTTCCCTGGATCTCGGGTTGGGGTTGCCTGGGCCTTGGATCTCTGATGGATGCAGGAAAATGGGGAAACTCAAGGGGTTATGTGGTTCTTTGTGTGAAGTGGGTCACTTTCCCAGCTCCTCCATTCCAAGTGGAAGTTCCACAGTTCTACAGGGTCTTCCTGTGACATGTGTGCGTGCTCAGTCGCTTCAGTCGTGTCCGACTCTCTGTGACCCCATGGACTGCAGCCCACCAGGCTCCTCTGTCCATGGGATTCTCCAGGCAAGAATCCTGGAGTGGGTTGCCGTGCCATCCTCCAGGGGATCTTCCAACCCAGGCATCGACCCACATCTCCTGTGGCTCCTGCATTTCAGGCAGATTCCTTACTGCTGAGTCCCTGGGGAAGCCTTCCAGTGACACTACTTCTACATTAAACATCAGTACCTCCAGCTGCCGGGACCTGCGGTGTGGGGCCCAGGGCACGTGGTTCCTGGCCACCGTGGACTCCACGGTTCCTGGGTGCTGAGTCCTCAGGGGCTTCGGGAGACCAGGGGCTGCGGCCAGCTTTCTGCTTCGGGGTCAGGCCTTCAGGTGTCTGTCGGCCGCTCCTGAGTGCCTTCCGGGGAGGGCTCCATCCTGAGTGCCTCCCAGGGCTCCATCCCACAGGGGCCCTGCACCTCCCCGAAGGAGGGCCCATGAGCTCACCGTCCCCAGGGCCCTGCCGTGGGGGCATCGCACACCCGACCAAGCCCCCACTGGGGCTGATGCACAGACTCGCTAAAGCTTTTCCCGCCCATCCAAGCACTAACCAGGCCCCAGGGCCCTGCCGTGGGGGCACCGCAGACCTGACCAAGCCCCCACTGGGGCTGACGCACAGACTCGCTAAAGGTTTTCTCTCTCATCCAAGTACTAACCAGGCCTGACCCTGCTTAGCTTCTGAGGTCAGAACAGATCAGGTGTATTCAGGGTGGTATGGCTGTAGACAAACCTTTATCCCTGAGATGGTTTTACCGTCCAGGTTTCCAAGTCTTACTGAAAATGCATCAGGTCTTTAGGTAGGAAAAATGCAGATGTGTGAAACAGCAAAAGCAGTCATTCAGCACTGGTGTGGCCTTGGTGTGGAGTCCAGGGCCCTCGTCTTGGAACCGCAGGCCCTGCTGGTGCTGCCGGTTCTCCAGCCCCGTCTGTGCTCACAAAGGAGAGAGTTCCAGGAAGGGATAACAGGACCTCTCCGAAGGCCTGGGGATGCTGGGGGCTCATGGACCCATCTTCAGAAACTCTCAGACCCTGACTCCCAATGCCTGGTCTCCATCCCCACTGTGTGGTGTCCACCCCATTGTGAGGTCTCCATTCTCACTGTGGGGCCTTCATCCCCACTGTGGGAATCTCCATCCCCACTGTGCACTCTCCATCCCCACTGTGGGAATCTCCATCCCCATTCCTGGGCCTCTGTCCCCATTGTGGGGTCTCCATCCCCGTTGTGGGGTCTTTATCCCCCACTGTGTGCTCTCCATCCCCACTCCAGGGCCTCTCCCCACTGTAGGGGTATCCATCCACACTGTGGGGTCTCCATCCTCCATTGTGGGGTCTTCAATCCTTTTCTGCGGTCTCCACCTCCATTGTGGGGTCTTCATTCCCTTTATGGGGTCCCCACCCCCCATTCCAGGGACCCCATACCTGTCCCCAGGGTTCCCCATGCCCGGGGCTTCCTCAGTGACCCATGTGGACAGCTGGGCCAGGTGTGGGGCTGCTCAGGAGGGTTTTCTGTTCACCTTCTTCCCACAGAGGCTTCCATCTGCCTTTAGGACACTGATAGGGGACTGGTCACTTCCTCTCTGGTCACTTCCTCGGGTACAGCTGTGTCCAGCCAGGCCAGGGTTGGTGGCCTTGTAAAGACTTTGGTTCTGTTGTTTCCAGGAGTTCAGGTATCGGCGCGGTGTCTGCCTGAATGCATGGTTCCTCTTAACCAGGAGCAGAGTGCTTCTCCCGCACTGTGCCTGACCCCTCTCCCTGCTCCAAGGCAGGGGGATGCCCCATCAGGTCTGTGGAGCCCTCACGCTGCCAGTGGGTGGCCCTGCTGGTCACAGCTGGGGGAGGTAATGAACTTGACTTCCCTATCACCCTTTTGTCTCAAGGATTCCCAAGTTTGTGATCTTCCTCAGGCTGTACATTTTAGGGGAAATTCTAAACATTTTCCTGAATTCATTCCCTCTACATAGTTAGAAAAAAGTCGAGCTATAAAAATTGGATTTTAATCTCTGCTTCCTGACTCAGAAATGGATAATTTCATTAAAGCTTCCATAAAAAGTCACCTTTGGGAAGGACATGAACTGGAAAGTTCCAGCCTCCAAGAGTAATAATGGCCTGCAAATTTGCTTGTAGTGTCGTGTTTGTGTCAACTTTCATGAACTTTTAAAAGGCAGTGAGCTTATTTAATTAGTTAACTTGGTTCTGAGTAGACTGAGGGCTGGTGCTTCTTAGTTATAAACCCTTTGCTTGTACCCAAAAGAGGGATTTTCCACTCTTGCAAGTTTCACTGTTTGCAAGAAGGGAAACTGGGGACTGATCACAGAAAAGGGAGGCACGGTGGGTGGAGAATGTGAAGGACCCTTAGGGGGGCGGGAGCCGGGTTCCTGCTAGGACATGTGGCCCAGGACGTGAGGTCCCAGGTGCCCCCTTCTCAGGCCCAGCAGATGACGCTGCAGCATTGACCCAGGCAGGAGACTCACTGGACCTGGGCTTCAAGGGCCTAGAATGGGGACCAGCATGCAGATGACCAAGGACCCCAGTCACCCTAGCCTGGCCGGTGGCATGACCCAGGACCCCCGGCCCCCCTACCCTGGTAGGTGGTGTGACCCAGGACCCCCTGTCACCCTAGCCTGGCTGGTGGTATGCAGGCAGGACCCCCCATCACCCTAGCATGGCTGGTGGCGTGACCCAGGACCCTGGTCACCCTAGTCTGGCCAGTGGCGTGCAGGCAAGACCCCAGTTACCCTAGCCTGGCAGGTGGTGTGACCCGGGACCCACCATCACCCTAGCCTGGCCGGTGGCATGACCCAGGACCCCCAGCACCCCTACCCTGGCCGGTGGCATGACCCAGGACCCCCCCATCACCCTAGCCTGGCTGGAGGCATGCAGGCAGGACCCCCCATCACCCTAGCCTGGCCGGTGGCGTGACCCAGGACCCTGGTCACCCTAGCCTGGTCAGTGGTGTGCAAGCAAGACCCCAGTCACC